AAAAAAAAAATCCAACGTCAAACAAACATAAATCACTAGTTATTCCTCTTTGCACCAGCTCAATCACATGATGGAGATCATAATTAAGTTCTTTGAATTGGATGAATGGACTCACCGTACTGTAGACTTGCAAGGGTTGTTTTTTTGGTTGAAGCTCAAAGGCAACATCGGTGAATCCATTCTGTGCTCCAATTTAAGTGGACCATTGTTGCTAGGGTTGTGATGGGAAAGAATACTTGTGATGAGGGTTGCTAGGGTAGGAATATCATCGTCATTGTATAGCATGCTTTCTTCTTCTTTTTCTTCTTTTTTTCTATAACCCGGTCTCTTTATTGATGACTAAGGGAAGCAAAAGAGCTCATCTAGCCATGTCTCAGAGAAACATGTTGCTATGTTCATGACAGTGGGCCATAGAAATCAGTTCTAATGTGTGATAACCTCAATTTTAATGGTCTCAAAGTACAATACTAATCAATATGATTTACTAGAGAGGGCACTAATAGAGTGAAAAAAAGGTGGTAGAAAGGAGACCAATAGATTTAGAAGGAATATCACACAAGGAGAAGAAAATAACTATTCACCTGACCTAAGAAATACGTTTATTCATTAAAAGCATTTGTTTCTCACTCTTCACCTGTAGTTGACTCCCACATTTGTTTATTTGATTTGTGAGCATGTCCACATCATATTATAATTTGAGCACTGTAGACTTTGCCTCTCCACTTTTTTCAACAGTTTTCTTTGTTTCCAGATTTTCATCTGAATTATGGATCATAATAGTACGATTGCTTTTTTTCATTATAGTATGACTGCTTATCTGATACCCTTTGACACAATAGAAAGGAATGTATTAATAACAAAATGACTAAATGTAATTCAGATAACAAAAGATGCAAAATAGAGTTAAAGAAAAGTATAATTAAGGTTAGAAGGTGGAAGAAACTCTTATTGAACAGAAAAGTATAATTAAGGTTACCTGGCCTGAAGAAGCATGGTTTCTTTTATAAAAAAATTGTCATATCTGATTCATAAACTCTGGATGAGTCACATATTTTAATACATGATATCTCATTCTCAAAAGGACTGTCCTAAAAGGAAAAGCAAACTATTGATCTATTTTGGTATCTGGAGGTTTCTTTCAGGAGAAGTGTACTGATTCTCCAAATCCAGATTCAACAAATTTGTACACATCTGTGACCCCAAGACATTCTCCAAATAAGACCCTAAAGATTAAAATAGCATGTCTTTCTTAACTAGAACTGATTCCAAACTAAATAAATCTCTATCTTGGATATTTAACTATATATGATGAAAATCTAAGAAAAATTGGAGAAAAAGTGCTTTACCAACTTAATTAAAGTCATCCATAGTCATCTAAGACTTCGACTAAATCCCCAGCTGAATCAACATCACTTATGTGCATTTTGATAAAGTATACTAGCATACAAAATGTCTTGATTAAAGCATCATACGTGACCTTCTTACAACTTGTAATTAGATATTTATTGGTTTTTAGTAGGAATGTCTGCTTCATTTGTAAACTTTTTGTTTCTCTGGTCATCTCCTAGAAAAGAGTCCAAAGCTCTTTATTTACTAAGAATATAGTCAGGTAAATCTACATGCATGTCATTTACTAACAGACAATAGATGATTCAATGCTTCGAGCAATAGTTGGCGAGACAAGCCACTTGTGGGGAAACTTACTGTTAAGATTTCTCAGGTTGCTAAGCGTCTGGAGAAGTTTAAGACGACTATATTCACTCAGATGAGCATGCTTGCCATTAAACACGGAGCAATAAACTTAGGTCAGGGTTTCCCAAACTTTGATGGGCCTGAGTTTGTCAAGGAAGCTGCGATTCAGGCTATAAAAGAAGGGAAGAATCAATATGCAAGGGGTTATGGTGTTCCTGAACTTAATTCGGCCATTGCAGCCAGGTTCAAGAAAGACACTGGTTTAGAAGTAGATCCTGAGAAGGAAGTGACTGTGACATCGGGGTGCACTGAAGCAATTGCTGCAACCATGTTGGGGCTGATAAATCCTGGTGATGAGGTGATAATTTTTGCCCCATTTTATGATTCGTACGAGGCAACCCTATCTATGGCTGGTGCTAAAATAAAGTCTATCACTCTTCACCCTCCCGATTTCGCTGTCCCTGTTGATGAGCTCAAGTCTGCAATCACAAAGAACACACGAGCTATAATGATAAACACGCCACACAATCCTACTGGAAAAATGTTCAGCAGAGAGGAATTGGAGCTGATTGCCTCTCTCTGCATAGAAAATGACGTCTTAGTCTTCACAGATGAGGTTTATGACAAGTTGGCATTTGAAGCTGAGCATATCTGCATGGCATCTCTTCCAGGAATGTATGAGAGGACAGTGACCATGAATTCTATTGGGAAGACATTCTCCTTGACTGGATGGAAAATTGGATGGGCTATAGCACCACCACATCTGACATGGGGTTTCAGGCAGGCACACTCGTTCCTCACGTTTGCCACGTCGACTCCGATGCAATGGGCAGCTTCAGTAGCTCTGAAGGCACCTGATACTTATTTTGAGGAATTGAAGAGGGATTACTTGGTGAAGAAAGAGATACTTGTGGAGGGATTAAAAGCTGCAGGTTTCATAGTGTACCCATCAAGCGGGACGTACTTTGTTGTGGTGGATCATACCCCATTCGGGTATGAAAATGATGTGGCCTTCTGCGAGTACTTGATCAGGGAGGTGGGTGTCGTCGCCATTCCAACCAGTGTATTCTACCTCGACCCGGAGGAGGGAAAGAATTTAGTAAGATTTACCTTCTGTAAGGATGAGGACACTCTGAGGGCTGCAGTTAAGAGGATGAAGGAAAGGCTCTACAAGAGATGAGTTTCTTATGCTGTGCTTTCAATGATGTGCTCAACACTCTGATTCACCCAGGGTTTTTGGGAAAGGATAAATTGGCCTTGTTGCCTGGATCTTGGGATTGTTCTCCCTTGCTGTTTCTGAACTGTCCTGTTGAACTGTGAGCTGTTTTAACTTTTCAGATACGATGCTTTTCATTTTAATCTTTGTCTCCTTGGTTTAGTTCTCTACCTTTCTCTTGCCCAATCTCAAGGAAATGTGATTCTGACATACATAGTTGTCCTGATACATGATGCTAACCTACTTTGGCCTAATTCATTCACTCATTTTAGATGCAAAGTCGTGATATTTGATATTTGAGCCATCATAAGGTTGTGATTCACATATACTATGTCATCTTGGTTATATTGGGCTTTGATGTTATAATTTGATCTTGGTTATGCTGTGTTTTGACGATGATATCAAGCTCTTAAGTAAAAAAATTAGTCTCGTATCGGAAGTGGATAGGATTATAATTCAAGGTTTGATGAGTGTACTATTATTAGTTTCAATTTAAATATTTTAATTAGTGATTTAAGTAAAATTAAGTTGATGGGTGGTTTATTATTATATGGACTTGGTGAAGTATCTAATATATATGGATCTACGCAGGTTCAAATTCTTTGAAACATGCTTAGAGAATTTTTTTATAGTGTCGCATAAGATTGTTACGTTTCGAAGTCAATTAAATGTCAATAACGTTTCCATGCTTTCCTCGACCATCAATTAGGATAACGATCGACTGAGTCAGCATCCTGATTGACAATACAGGAGCACTAAGTCGGCATCCTAGCTGGCATAACGCTAATTATCACATCGGTCGAATGCTAATTATCATATCGGTCGAATGAGATCAAAATATCAGCCACATGGCTGACAAACACAAGACCAGCGAGCCGGCATCTTAATTGACGTAACGCTAATTATCATATCGGTCGAATGAGAATGAAACGTGGGTCAATTGCAGAGTGACATATCTGCTGAGTGATGATTAGATGTGACAGACATGATCTAATGCGGCTGTTTGTCAACTCAAGCGATGGTCTAATCATAATCCTAATTTGCCCTTTCTATATTTTGTTCTCAATTCCCTTGTTTTTTTGCGACCTGCCTATTGAATTCCTCTTCAAAGGAGCTGCTAATCTGTGCTTAAATGGTTCAGTCCGGTATCAAATGACACCCAAACCCCCATCAACACCGCTCATGCGACATGATCTCTCTCTCTCTCTCTCTCTTAGTCAGTCTTCGTGTCCAATATCATCATTGTTAATAATAGCAGCAGAGGCCAGGGCTTGGTCAGTGTCTTTTGCATCGTCACTGGAGCCAAAAATGGCGAATCCATCGGATCGAATCTACTTCTACATTTCATTTATTTACAGCTCATCCTTACCTCTTTTGCTTACTGCTTTTCTATCCACATATGGATGATAGAAGTATACAACCCATCTGCTAACAGGCATCATACTATAACCTGCCATATATTTCCTAATCCCAAGAAGCTTGTTAGTTGATATCTAATCAAATTTTCACATAAGACTATCTCCTAAGAAATTGCTGTGAGATTATGAGAATATTGTATTTTGGCCATATGTGCTTAGAACAATGCTTCATTAAGGCTTCCTGGAGTCACAAGATTGGCATTAACGACCACATAACAATCATTATGAATCAACAAAGACAAGATCCTCAGGATGCTGCAGTCATGCATACAACATGAACTACGTTGGAGACGCCTGGAAAATATCCTATACTGTCCAATCTTACCTCTTCTTTGCAAGAGACCATTCTTTGACAATACTAGTCTAGAATTCTCTGGACCAATTCAAGTGCATGAGCATTTACATACAAATAACAAATGGAAACTAATCATAGAAATCGACAACACCATAAAATGCCTACCAGAAGCCACAAACTGGTTACTGTGGCTGCCTGGAAGAAGTACAATGTGAATTGAATCCTGATTAGAATCCAACTCAGTAGCTTTGCTTGCTAAAATTTACGGTACTACACAAACACTTCTTTTTTCAACATCAATACTAAAAAGAGTCGCTACTGTTTTTTGCTGATCTTGACTTTTTATTGGTGACAACTGGCAGCTTGAGGTCTATGAAACTAGAAGTTAAACATCTATATATTAAACATAGCCTTTCAAGATCTACTGACACACGAAAACGTTATGTATCCACATCTACATGAATTTATAGAGATGAAACATTGACAGGCAAATGGAGTAAGAAACTGAAAACATTGTAGCATAATGCAAGATGTTAATCAGACAAGACCTGAATTACAAATATATGTCAAAAGATCAGTAATTGAATGGGATCCTGGATCCCTAGTCATATAACGATGAAGTCTCACTATTTCTGCATTGATATGCTCTGAAGACTTGATCTAAGTGTAGCCTGGAAACCTGCCTGAAACCCTTGTGTGTATGCTGCATTCTTCAGGCTCATCTGCAATGATTTTGTGATATCAAATTGCATGCTAAAGACAAAAAAGATGTATTACAGGCTTCGCATCCTAAATTTTATTTTCAGGCCTAAATGACACAAACATCATTTAAAGCTCCTGATGGCTAGTTCTATAGATCCATCAGATAATGCAGCAGCTACCAGATGCATTTAGATTTCTATTGATTCCTCTTTGTCAGTTTCTTCTGCAAAAAGTTACAACTCTGCTTATTTTAATGTTCATAATTACTAAATGTGCAATAATTATTCCATGAGTGATTGAAGTAAATCAAACTGCTTCTGCTAGTACTTTCTGTTTGTTGTCTTGGCTAAGATGAAAACAATAGTAATGACTTTTTCGAAAGGTGATTGTCACAGTTAAAAGACGGTTGGCTGTTTGATTAGTATAAAATTAACTTTCTTTACTTAAGAAACATCAAAATCAACATATGTGATCTGAAACTAGTGAGCAAAAAAGCAGAAATGGTTTCAGGCACTGGACAAGTTGTCATTGTCCTAAGACTACCCACTAGTATGGTTATCATGCTTATCACTTACCATCATGTGCTCCAAGTCAGAACTGACACGTCTTTTGACAACATCTGAAACTGAAGGTGCAATTTGTGGATCATTTAGATCCTTAGTTATCTGTGAAGGTGATTGATAATGGATGTATCAGAACTTGATATGATATTCGTAGATGGAAAAGGCAGAATGAAATACACCAAATTACTTCGGCAACCTCGTTCAGAAAGGCTGTGGATGTTTTATCCATGATTTCCTTCACGAGTTTCTCAATATTGGTAGCTTCAGCCAATGGATCTATTGAGCTTTGAACTTTCTGCAACTTCTCTTTTTGTAAAGCAGCTGGACTTTTGGCTTCTCCTGCAAGTACAATATGAAACCATGCCAGATTTAGAAGAACAAGGGACCCCAAGAACAAGAATATGAATATCCACAAACATGAAATGTGGAAACTTCACAGTCTTTTTGTGCCTGTGTTAACATAGAATTTGCTTACTTTCCAGCACAAGTGAGATACTTCGACATATAAATGGACTCTTCTACAATCTATACATTTGTGTTGATATATTTAACAGATTGTGAATAAATGATACCTATACAAAACTTTTTAGGGCATGCTGAATGGTAGCAATATTTAGATAATTGGGACTTCTAATTTACTCAATGTTATTTGAAGTTCCTCTTGTAAACAATTTGTCGATCATATGGATGGTTGTTATACACTTATACTTATTATGAGACCATGGATTTGTTTGTTTAAATTGTACATAAGATAAAATTACAATAAAAGGATAAACATGTATCAATTCCATGGCAGTTCCTATTTTCATGAGATCACCTGCTGATATTTAGGTATCCTACATCATGACCACGGTTTGTAAATTTGCACTATCTTGTCACTATCATGGTCTAAAACTGCGGATGGTAATCAGGCTGTAGAAAATTATGAAACCAGAGAAAATGGCAATCAAAGAATATCAGCTAGATCTTAACTGATTTGGCTCATCAAGGCTGATTCCATCCAATCTGATCCAACAATCAAATTTCACTAGATTGAATCCTGAGATCCAGGTCAATGACAGTCCCAAATTCTTAAGCTTTACTAATAACAACTACAGAAATGAAGCTGCAACATTAAAATACTTAAGAGAGAATATAATTATCCTTCAAATTACTTAACTGGTCAAACAACCATAACTTGGAACAAGTAGACCAAAACAAGTTCACTTGGTTGCATTTGAATTTTTGTTTCCTAGGCAATTTTATGATACATCAGTTGTGAGAAATCCAGAAGTACAAGGGAAAAAAAGACAGGAACTTTGAACCTTGTAAAAGGTCATATGTTATGCAAAGTCCAAGATGAAATTAAATTACGAATTGTTTACAGTAAGAAGACATAATATGTAAGTAAAAGTTTCTATGGAAAATGTTATTTATCACAAATCATGAATTACTAACGGAAGCTCACCAGCAAGCTTTGTTGGCTTCTTCACTGTAAGCCCATCATTTCCAGTGGGAATAGAAGTAACAGCATTTTCTACTTTATCTGGAAGAGTGGGAACTCCAGATGGAGCAAGAGAAGCAAGATCAGGTGGATTGTCCTTGCCTACCGCTGGATTAGCCTACTACAAGAAATTATTATCATGTACTCCTTTTAAAAGATATTAATATGAAATTTCTGCTTTACTAAGCATGTGTTGAATCACCTCCAAATCCACATATGAGGGTTGTCTTCCTATTGAAATCAGAAACTTGTCCAAGCTGCTTGCACTTATAGCTGTTCAAGTAAACATGGAGGTAATAGCTATTTTAGCACCAAACAGAAAATGATGATAGCAACTTCTGATAAATAACAACTAAAAGGATAGTCCAGTGCATGAAGCTCCCAAAGCCAACATGAGGTTTGTTTAAAATTTAAATAACTAATGGGGAGAAGGAAAATGTAAGTTGATTTCTGTATGTCATGCAAACAAGGAAAGGAAGATTCTGCTGCATCTAGAAAACTAAAACATAAAATAAAAATGTATTAGTGGTGTTCATATTGCAATATATTAAAAAACTCCACTGGATGAAACACTATTGCTTAATAGTTAAAAGAGAAAATGGCAAGAAGATTTAATCATTTAGCACCGAGCACATTGTGATCATGAATATATCAACATATACATATACATACATACAATCACATACATATACATGTGAGCTTGAAAAGCTATAGCACCAAAGTGATTCAACAAATAGGACATCATCAACAATTAAAACCAGACATGATATAAATTATATCTAATACAAAGCTTATAGAAACTAGAAAGCTAATGGAATTAAATAAGGAGCTCAAACAAAATAGAAATCTATTTTATTTACTGAAGTTACTTATCATGTGTAAGTATATTAGCCCCAAGATTACCTCTGATGTTTTGATGACAACAAAACATCAACCTATTTAATTTGATCTGAAATCTCACAATTTTAGGACCACACTGTGCCAGATTGCACTTCATGTTGTTAAGATCAACCTGAAAGAGAAGCTAATCATCTGCTAAGGTGGACTGCAATAGCTCATTCCATGTGTAATGTCTCTTCTGTGATGTCAAGTGCAACATGTCTAGGTGAATCACATGGTGCTCAAATTTAGTCATTAAACCCCTAACAGTGATTATTCGGGGAAGGCTTTGAACTTCAGAGTACTTGTGGGCTTGGATGACAAATCTGAAGAACTGGCTATCCCCTTTCTAAGATACTCTACTTGTATATCTTGAATGACCCTATATAAAGGTTTGTATTGCTGAGATGAGAATATTAAGATGAATATGTGATGTTACTATAAAAGATAGGAAAAAATATTTTTATTCGTAAACAACTAGGTATCGCTTCGATAGAGAATGAGATAAGAGAGAATCGTTTAGGATGGTATAGGCATATGCTTAGAAGACTTATAGATACAGTAATTAAAAAAAGTAAAATGATTAACATTAGTGATAAGAGGAGAGATAGAAAAAGACTTAAAAAGATTTTAATAGAAATTATAAATAAATATTTAAATACTCTAGACTTAACTAAACATATTATTTTTACAAATATCAATAGTGACAAAAGATTAATGGTAGTCGACCCCCAATAGTTGAGACTTACGACTTTGTTATTGTTGTTGTAATCACCCTGAACCTTAACTTGCACTTATTTGAGAATTTTATATCATATTCCAAACTCTTATTTATTCTAGAAATTGTAAGGATTAGCTCTTGAACTTTGAGAAAGAACAATGGAGTAAAGGCATGGTCTTTGCCGATGAAAAAGACAATTGACCATAAATTGCTAGAGACCAGAATGAGGATATCCAAAGAGTGACCATCCACTGGTTGGGTTGAGCCTTTATGAAAATTGGCCATGCAATGGCTTATGCAATCTCAATATAGAACATATGTGTAGAGTATGCAACCATGTGTCTAACATTTGAATGCTGTAAGTATTATTGTTATAGAAGAAATAGGCCAGGGTAATGTTAAAATTATCTCTCAAACCTTTATTAAATTTTTTTTTGTAACAAAATTCTTCATGATGAGCATAAATGCCTTCCAATGTCTAAATAAATCCTTAATTTGACCAAAGATTATTACTCTTAATAATATGAACTTGATTATAGGTACTTAATTAAGTGTATTTTGAATAATTAAAAATTCTTTAATCTCCAACGTGGCACTATATGAAGCCGCCACTAGCAAATTATTATAGCTCTTTAGAATATCGAATAAACACAAGTATAGAGGATGAGTCATAGAAATACATAATGTAGTAGAGTGATATGAAAAGGATGCGGCGAGGAGTTGTTGATGTCAAAAGCTTGACACTTGTTTTTAATCTGAAGGGATCATTCCAATGTAGCTGTCAGCAAGATGGCCTTTTCGTAAAAATTAAAATATCATTTCCTTTTATTTGTAGGGGAAAAAACACAAAAAAAAGCTTGCCATACATGGACTTGATCAATGTCGACACAAAATAACTAACAACCCAGTGAAGATCATAGGCGCGGTCCTCAAAGGAAACTCCACATAGAATAGCGGATCTGGAGGTCAAATACATAAATATAATTGAATCAAATAAACTAAAGAAAATATGTAAAAAGAGTGGCCCAATGTACGAGGCTCTCGATAATGAAGATTCCAAAGCAGATCAATATATGGAGTCATGCCGGGTAAACAGAGAGGTCATTTCCATGACTGCAAACTTGGTCATCCAGACCATAAAGAAGCAATCTTATGGTGGTGCTAAGGGTTGTCCTCTTCTACCCCACTCTATTTTTCCAGTTACAAATCCCTTATAACTAAAACTGATGAGTTATTGAGCACTTTAATATATTAGATTGCCCAGGAAATTTATGAGACACTAACTGTTATGTAGCAATTGAAAACCTCAATTGATCAAGGATACCCATTGAAACTGTAACTGCTAAAAGATGAAACAGCAAAACTCATTAATCAGCTTAAGTTAATGGTGGTACAAATGATGTACTATAATGCAAATAAGATGAAAAGAAAAGATACTGAAAGAAGAATAAATCAAATAAAATCTTGGTACTTACAAAGAGTCACTTCATTTGTGAGTGGGTGGAAATAGCAGGATTGTTGAGATTTGAATCCTTGATCCAGCAATAGTGAGACATCTCTGGTAAAAATAGATAAATAACTTGCTGAGAACATCAGCAGACTCGCACAAAAAGAAGATGGAAGAAAGATTGCAGCAATATTTTCATTAGAGTACATTAGACTATTGCTATCATTTCATATACAAGAAAACATATTATAACAAAGCATTCATCAAAAGAGCTGACAAATAGAGCAGAAACAAGAAGGGGCCATTGTTGGTGTACTGCAAAAGTTTGAAATAACCATTTACCCTCAAAATTGTAATATTTCTGGTATACTACTAAAGATTCAAGATATCCAAAATTTTACCCATATCATTAACTACTATTGACTAATGTTGGTCTTAACTCATATTAAAGCTAATCATGGTATGAAATTTCGAATGGTACCGCTTGGTATGGGTGGTACATATCAGTCTGACAGCATATCGGTACGTCGACCGCCCGCTACCGGACGGATCATGCTACAGGGCTACAGTAATACACTGTAGCAGTGCTACAGTGCTATAGTAAGAGGAAATCGCTCGGTAAGCCCTGGTGTACCGTTCGGTACGCCCTGGTGTACCGTTCGGTACGCCCTGGTGTACCGTTCGGTACGCCCTGGTGTACCGTTCGGTACGCCCTGGTGTACCGCTCGGTACACTGGTAGCATACCGTATCGAGCCAACCTCGAAACATCGGTACGGTACGGTATTGCATACCTTGAAGCTAACTACATGTTTGGTTTACTAATGACTGTTGCCGAAAGACCAAATCACTTCTAACCTGTATGCCTAATTCTCTATGATGTGTGAAGGAGGTAAATCGAAAGTCATAGAAGAGCCTCTCTAACGAAAGAGAAGGGAACTGATTGGAAAAAGATGCCTCAAACAACTTTTCTGTCAAGCATTCTTTCACTTTTGCCCTAAGGTTAGCTGAGTGGTCCATGTCAAGGTTTGCCACATCCTTAACATAATTCTTTAGGTTTTCCATGATCTCATCTGTGGTTAACTCAAAAAATCATTGGTAACTAGATCTTCTAGCAACAGAGGCCCATGGTCTGCCATAAATAAAATCACTCCCTTGCTCTGAGGGGTGAGAACAAAGGGGGAGATGTCACGTCCCTCCAAGGTGCAGCAACACCAGGAGACTGAGAAGTGAGAACATTCAATCAGGGAGGAGATATGGTTAGAAGGGGGCTGCACCTGAACCTCCAACTTCCCCACTCATAAAGTGCTCAGAGTTCTCTCTTCAATGCCAGCCCAAAAGAGAGTAAAATTTCCAACTCTAAAATGTTACTCTCAACTCTGAGGTCTGAATTAACAAAACCATATTGACATACAATTTGCTGTAAAATAGTATTAATAACAAACTCGAGGTTTATAGAAAATTAAGATTAAAAGATCAATTTACATTTTGCTTATAAACAAGAATTGTCAATAATAAATTAGTAATCAATACCTTGCAGAATCATTAATTAGTGCAAGTGGTGTTACACATCCTAGTGGTACCTGGAAAAGCAGCAAAAAACAAGTTACATTAATTTCAAAAGGCAAACATCACCATATATAGAGGGCATGAAATTGAAACTGTCAGGCAAACAACTTTTTGAAAGATGGCAAATGAAAACATTCATCATTAAACTCTAAATTTCTACAACTAGCCATCACATAACATCAACAAGTTCATCTCACAGCGTAAATCAAATAAGCCAATGAAGACAATCCTTATAAATACTAGAATTACATATCTACAATTATATGATTACTATAACAACAGAAAAAGAAAAGGGAACACAAAAACAGGCAACAAAGGAACAGTCCTTAGATAGAAACAGCTGTAACTGTCATAAGGCTCCAAATTATTGAATGATTTTAGCTTCTGAGTAAAAGCTTTAAATACTTTCTGACCATCCAAAGATACACCGAGTCACCGATCTTTTTAAAAGGGATATTAAGTCATAGATAAGTTCACCACTATAGTGCCAAGATTTTCTCTTCACATCAAAAGGTTTAGGGTAAAAGTCCATTTTAACCCGTATGGTTTTGGCCACGGATCACTTAAGCCCTTATGGTTTACTCGTGTCTAAAATAACCTCTACATTTTTAAAAACGTAGCATACAAACCTCTCCCGTCAAGTCTGATTTAACAAACGTTAGAGCCAGCTTACGTGGCATACCGACTCACAATAAACCATTAATATAATGACATGTGTAATTTAAGTTTAAAAAATGGTTAAGATCCATTTTAGCCCATGTGGTTTTGGTCATGGACCACTTAAGCCCTTATAGTTTATTCGTGTCTAAAATAACCTCTATATTTTAAAAAATATAGCATATAAAATTCTCCCGTCACGTCTGAGTTAACAGGCATTATGGTCTGCTTACGTGATATACTGACTCATAATAAACTATTAATATAATAACATGTTTAATTTAAGTTAAAAAAAAACTGAGACCCCCATCAATGGCAGGACGAGGTGTCATCGTGGAAGCTACCACCACCACCAGCAGCAAGCCACTGCTGTCTAGCAGGGCGTCGTATGCACGTAGCCTCTCCCGTGTTGACGATGAGTTTAGAAGCTTCCGGTCCTACCTTAGGTGGATGAGCGTCGACCAGTTCGACGCAAGGCACGCTGTGGTCTCTTGGGTGTCTTTGTCCTCACCGCCTCGCACTTTGTCTTCTCCCGCACCCCCACCCGCCGCGCTACGACGTGGTGGTCCAACTCTCCCTTACCTCCGCCTCCGGCCTCTCCTACCTTTGCCTTTCCGCCTTTATCTGTCGCTACGACCTCCGTCACGTCCTCTTTCTCGACAAAATAAACCTTAACTATTTTTTAAATTTAAATTACACGTATCATTATATTAATAATTTATTATGAGTTAGCATGTCATGTAAGCAGACTCTAACGTCTGTTAACTTAGACTTGATGGGAAGAGCTTATATACTACGTTTTTGAAAATATAGGGATTATTTTATACACGAGTAAACCATAAAGACTTAAGTGGTCCATATCCAAAACCATAAGGGCTAAAATGGACTTTAACCATTTTTTAAAATTAAATTACATGTATCATTATATTAATGATTTATTGTGAGTTAGTATGCCACGTAAGTAGACTCTAACGTCTGTTAACTCAAACTTGACAGGAGAGGCTTATATGCTATATTTTTTAAAATGTAGAGGTTACTTTAGACACGAGTAAACCATAAGGGCTTAAATGATCAATAGCCAAAACCACAAGGACTAAAATGGACCTTAACCCAAAGATTTATGTGATCACCATAAGCTTGTTAGATATTCAAGAGACTTTATAAGATAATTATAACTTGAAATGTTTTGTAATTACAGTGGCCGACTGCATGACATAGAGGCAACCCACCATTACTAGGTAGATCTAGCTCTCTTAGTTATAGGGCTCAAATAATTTAATTAAAGCAAAAGCATTATATTCATAATAAATGTGTATACACATCTCACTCATTCTTTATGTATTTATTGGATTCAGTGGTATAGCAACCATTCAGTTGAAAGAACCAAGGTAATATATCTGAGATATGGCCAACATATTAAGAAAAAACAGAAAATCTAATAATAAAGGCCAATAATAGTAAAACAGACCTGAAGTATTTCTTGCAAAGCTTCTTCAGCAGCCATTCGCAAACCTCCTTTTCCAAGGCCGAGTCTTTGGGACAAAACTGATTGGCACAAAGTATATATACCATAAAGTTCATCCATTAACTCAAATGCATCAATTAATATGCAACTGAATCATGTAACATTTGCACCACTGAGTAAGCATATGTACCTTTTAAGTCAATGTTTGTGTTTGCAAGAGCAGAAACAACATAATATCTATGTTTCTTGTCCTGCAATGGACATGCATAATGTTATTTATGTAGATAGAATGTCCAATTAATTTTACTGTTGTCATCTACATGCTTCTTCAGAAAAGTTTTCCATTTCAGGCATTGCATATTACCTTTAACAGCAAATTTTTACTTAATGCGCCACCCAAATGTCCAACATACTTTGCCTAACAAAAGGAAACAATTGTTCAGGAATTGTTTTAATAACATGTAAAAGAGGACAACTATTACATACTGACCTGAGCCTCAACAGTCAAGACAGCAGGATGATCATAGCAAACAAAATCAATCTGAAGTTCCTGTATAAGAGAAGACATTAGACAAAGAAGTGTTTGTTGGATAGTATAAAACCAGAATCCATTAATGAAGCTAGGGTTTGTTTGGTTGCCTATAACTGGAAGTCTTATAAGATATATTGTGAAAGTGATACTTGCAAAGAGCAACTTCCAAAGTGACTCTAGTTCACAAAAAAAAGTAAGAAAAATCTTTTATTTTAATCACTTCAACTGTTTATTTATAATTGTTTAGATAACTGATAGATCATTGGAAAGTGACTCTAGTTCACAAACAAAAAAAAGTAAGAAACACCTTTTATTTTAATCACTTCAACCGTTTATTTATAATTGTTTAGATAAGTGATAGATCATTGGGTAGCATACAAGAGCTAGAAAATCAGCACTCTGATGATCGGACATAGCTAGAAAGTCTATCACTAGAATCAACTTGTGGGACAATCTGACAACTACTACAACAACAAGCTGTAATGTCCCAACATGTTAGGGCTACCTAACAATTACTCTACAATAATGAATGAAATTAAATTGAAAATTCTGCAAGAAGCTTTAAAACATCCATAAATTCAATGACCCCTTGGCTAAAACCTAATCCAAACAAAAGTCAACACAAATCTAATTCTAACAGACATGAACATATGTGAGCACTAGAAAATATATCAACCTATACTTTTCACGACTAGGTGGTCTCTAATGTAAAAAAAAAATGATTTTTTTTTTCTAGAAAGTGAGACAATCAGGACAACAGGAAACTATGTTTCATTCATTTGATGCACCATGTTTATTCAATATTTTGGGAGGAGACAAAAACCATCGTATTATCTCGTAAAGCTGAATGGCAAATCAGTCAAAAGATGAGGCCACAAGTTGTGCAAGCGATCCCCAAACCATCATACGAACTTTACAATTGACATTTCAACAAGAAGATAAAAATAAGCTTGTGACATTTTGTAGGCAATCTGAGTTCAAGTTCAGCTATCCTATATGGACTCGCAGGCAAATTAGGGTTGGACCAACAACCAATTTGGAACAAATGTTCTCGAGAAACCGAAAACATACCTAAGGAGAGTTGTTCCTTTTAAGATACAATGAACAAATGACATCTGACCATGTGCACTTATCAAAAGATCGATATGCTACAACATCGTTGAAGACAAAACATTTGGATGACATGCAGTGAAATAAAATCGGTTTACTCCCTTGACGGCAGGCGGACATGCGATGGGTAACACAGCGACGGAAGGGGTATAGGAGGCATACCTTTAAGCGAGCAAGAAGCTGATCCTTGGTATAACCCATATCGATTTGAGGCGACCGAGGAAGAAGAAGAGGAGAGCCTGCGCTCAGTTGTGATCCGATGGCAGACAGACAATAGACTAGGGCGACCTCGAGCCCACCCAAGAAATGGCCAATCTCATCCGACCCGGTAGGATGGCGATGGGTCCGACCCATCAACACAGAGATCCGTCATTCCAGACCCGCAAAGTTAAACGGTTCAGTTGGATCATGTTAGAATCTTCCTAACGGACCACACATCGATCCGTTCAAATCTCGGATTGAATCGATATTGGGATGTAAGTTTCATATTTCTATCTAACAATTATATTAATTTTAAAAATAAAAATATTTAATGACATGTAAAAATATAGAAGACAATTTATTCTTTTAAGATACAAAATGCCTAATCAGTAAATTGAATCGATTGACGGTTTAATTGTCGATTTTTACACCCGATTGATGAATCTGGTCTTGACTAAAGAACATGATTGTTTTGATCACGCGAACTCGAAATTATTTTTACTGCATTTTTCTATCAAATTGATCAATACCATGATAGTGATAGATGACAGAGTGGTACGTTAGAAAATTATTATGGCACACAGAAAGCATGGGTTTGTCAGATGCAAATATCATGAACTTTAATATTTTTTTGCACATTAATAATCATAATCTTTTTTATATTTGCGTATGAATTCCGTAATATGTTGTGAACAGAGCAGTCTCCAACTCTTGTTTGTTGTCGTTCACATTGGCCTTTTTATCTTATTATTTTGTCAATAGGCTATGAACTGTAATAAATATTTTGACTTTGATCTAAAAGTAATAAAATATGAGACAAATCTAAATGATTTGAGGTTTCTACTCTTTCGATTTGTCTCAAAATTCTTTCTCGATCAAAAAAAGTTTCTCAAAATCCATAAAGTAGAAACAAAATGATGCCAAGGCGCTGACATGAAACACCAGAACAATGACGACTAATTACATTAAAACAAGAAAAGCAAGCATGTTCATGAAGTAGAAACCAACTCAATTCATCAACTCTCTGTGAAGGCAGGTAGGTGCTGCCAACCAGCTATAGATCATGCACCTTGAGAAGGCTCATTTTTTCCTACAGGCAAAAGTTTACTTCTACGATTCAAAACTCTGATTACCAGGATGGCAGGATCACAAAGAAGCAATCTTATTACGACATCCAGTTTCCTCTTCTAATAAAATAAGACATGCAGCTTCCACAAAAAACAATATTTAACTTGAAAGGTACGGACGGGAAAAGCATTCATCGAGCTATCAACTGGGTCAATCGTACAAAAATTATCAGATTCACTAGATTTATATATAATACTCATTGCATAACACTTGAGGATTAGTCAAGTGGGGGACAAGGTTAGAAAAAAAAGCTACTTGCTCGCATCTACAGCCTATATAGGTGCCCCAGCCCTTCGGGGAGCACTTACATTTAAAAGGAAAAGAAAAGAGATCAGCCGCCTTTGCAGCTATAAACCTGGTATGGTTATCAGACGGTTACCTTATATTTACACTTGTTGAGATTTGCAGATGCCCCGCAAACCTTCCATCCCCCTCTTGTAGGGAGTTTTCTACTTCAGCTCACAAAACCTCAGAAGCAGTACAACTGCTTTCGCTGCAAGCTGAACTCCAGATACCGTTGATGACCCAGATATGAGCAGTAAAACACATGCTGGAAGATCCACTTTATGTTCCTGTATATCCACTATCATGGCCCGCATATAAGTTGGAACACCAAGAATCCCAGAAATCCAGTCAGCTTCATCTCCCAGGGCATGGAGGTTGCAGCTTTTGCTGCAGAAGTAATTAGAATATAAGATCAGGAACTCAATAAAGTACTTGTTTTCAGCTCAAATTATGTGGGAACCTTTAATAAACAACACAAAAGCTTCACTACAAGTGACATATTAAAGAATGTATGTGACTTCAAATATGCTCATAAATTTTTACTAGTTTCACGTTGGTTTCAACAGCCTAATGCAATTATCCACCTTTTACATTCTGGTTTAGGACTGACATTGATGGAATCAAGGGATATTTATCACATAGTTTTTATGATAGTTTTTAGAGTAAATTATGTATTAGAATGAGGAAAAGATATTTAGCAGACTTCTAAAACTAGAAAGAGAAAGTATTGAGATAATAAAAACAATTAGATGTGTCAATGATGAATATCAAAAATGTGCTTATTAATCATATAAAGATCAAGGAAAATGGAGATATTATTTTATAAATTAGTTAAAACATTCTATTGATTACTTAGCTATAGCGATAAATCATGGTTGTCACGAGTTGGCATGGAGACGTAATACATGCATGACTTGTCCCAAGTACCTAGGCCGGGCACATGCCTTGTACATGGTATGTTCATTGTTACAAGGGTCGCAGATATCACATGGCTAAAGAAACCTTGAAGCAGCACATTAATTAAAGTCGCAAGAAAATGACATGGAAGGGCAATTAAGTAGACTAATCTTTTCTATAATATCAAGTTAGTAATAGTCTTCAATGGGTTGCAAAGGAAAGATGGTGTTTCAGGGGCTCACTTGTCATTAAAGATTTGAAGAATTCATGCAACTTGTTATCTATATAAAAGTAACCTCCAATTTTGTTTCAGCACAAGCTTCTGCTAGGTAACTGGAGTAAGACCCTAAATCCTTGTTCTTTAACAAGGACAACTTGTAATGTGATTTGTTGTGATTTGTGCAATGCTATCACAGGAGTTCTATAACATGCATGAATATGTTCATGTTGGAAGAAGTGTACATAGCCAAGGATGAAAAGTAATTTCTAAGTTTCAACAACTAAAATAACAAAAGTGACTGCCACCAACTTACCTTGGTCAAAAAGTATGCAAACATAATAAGGATGAACCTAGTGAATGAAACTACTGCTAGCACCGGATCTAGAGAGAGTAAATGTCTACAGCCTTCTACCTAAAAATAGAGATGCTATTTCTGTGGCCCAAACCTAGTCAACAAAAAGTATGCCAAACATGTATCTTGTAGACCCTACATACATGTGTTGACTGCAGCTCAGATAACCATTCTAGAGACTTCAAATCAAATTAAAAATTTAAAAAATATGGGCATCATATGTCCCATCTTGTAATTAACCCAGAACAAATAAGTTAAAACCAACATGTCCACATGCCTTTGGGATCAATTGTCGACATGTATTTGTCTGGGTGTAACTAGTGAGCCAATCTCATGTAAGCACTACCTCACTGTGAACTTTACAAGTAAACAAAATATAGGACCGAACTGTTGGTCAATGTTCAAGTTCATGAACTTCGTTTCATGACAATTGAAGACACTGAGGGTTGGTTAAACATTATAGAATAAATCAACGTATCTAATGACATGGAAGGATATGTCCTTAAAATTTAACAGGAATCAATATAATCTAAGGATACAAGTCAAAAGGCATTTAAGAACATATTCAAATGATAGAAAGCAGTCAATTTCTTATGCCAGTTCCAAAGATGTTCTTTACCATTATTCAAATAACAAGATATTAAGTTAGATTTATATTCTGTAGCTATTCAGATAATCTAAGCATAAATTTGAAAAAAAACCCAAAAGAAAACCAGTGACTCTGAAATCACTTCTTTTTAAACAAACTACCATGCCAATTAGTTAGCAAAAGTAACTTACATAACAAAGTAAGTGGAATAAGTGATGGCACAGGTGATGGTGACAATCTGCCACCATTTCCAACATCTTGCACTGGACTGGGAGCATAGCTAGCTGCAGATGACAATGGTGAGTGCTCTGGGTTCCCTTTGGGAGTTGACCCCATTGCTTCATGACTTGGAGGACTGGCCAAACCTGGCAAATGATTGGAAGAAAGTGGTGGTAAAAGATGGACTGATTGACCATTATTTGGTGCCAGAGAGGGACAAGGATAATGGTTAGGAAAAGGATCAATCTTTCTTTGTGAAGGTTCAGGTGCGTTCACAGACCAAGAATGCGGCTGAATGCCATTTTTGGGGGCAGGTGGATATGCCATTGGACTTTCTGATGGAGAAATTTGACAATATAAACATGGAGGCTGTTGATGTTGATCATTTGATGGAGCAGGAGCAAAAGGAGAGAGAGTAGGGTTCGAGGAAGCAGGAGGTACAGGGTAAAGAACATCATTAGATGGAGATGGAGATGGAGAAGGAGGAGGAGATGGACCAGGGGCCAGCGACAAAATTGAGGGTTTAAGGTATGATGACAACTGCACTTGCCTTACTTTTCCAAAAACAGAATTGTTAAGTCCAAGATTGTTTGCATCAGGCCCTGTGATGACCTGAGCTAGTTGTTTCATTCTATCTGGTAAAAGAGTACCACTTCCAACATCTGACAAAACAGAAGCCTCGACAGTAACTGGTGGTGCCACCGTGGAACCATCTGCATTCATCAGCTTCACATATACATTCTGCATACAAACAACATATTTAATGCTTTGTTTCACAGTTCAAACATAGATTGCAAACATACGAAAAGCATATTGTAACAGGATGGGCACCTCATAAGACCTCAAATTCAGTCCAAACTTAAGTTCACTCATCAGGCGGTCAATATTCTCCAGAATCTGTTCAATGGTGTTATTTAATTTGAAGACAAATAGGACTTGTGCTCTGTCCCAAATAGAAGTCGATGGCAATGGTATAACAGTGATCCCTCCAGGAAACTTCGAAAGCTCAAAAGCAGATGGGCGCCCAAAAATTGATGATGTCAAAGATATATTAGTTTGCTGAAGGACCAGCTCTATCAGAGTCGACCTTAAAATACTTAGGGCTTGTAAACTTATTGAAGCATTTTTGGGGTTATGAAGAAAGCCAAATACCACATACGTAGAGTTTTCTGGAGACAATGGTTGCATGGAAATAATTGAAACCTGTTGAGATAATTCAATTTCTTAATCTTCTGAATAACGAGAATAAAGTTGAATATACAGAAACAAAGTGAAATCAAACCTTGGTATTTGGAATTCCAATTTCCTCAAAAATGTCATACTCCAATCTTGCAGCATCAGCAGCAAGTTGTGAAATTGGTTTTTGCAAAATGAAGCTTGCCTGGATTTCAGCTGTAACAAAACAAGATAAACATTTATCTCCAATAAGTTTCTTGATATCCCTTCCGCATTCAAATAATTACAATTACCAGTTCATCACAGGGCTATGCATGGATTTGTATATCACCTCTTAAGTACAATTACGTTATTCATATTAGCCGGTACGTATGAACATATCCATTACTCAAAATGCTAAAGTTACCACTAAATTATGGTTACAGTTTTTGCTTCTACCTGGTAACATCAGGTTAAGGTTATACTCTCCTGGTCAGGCATTATCCAGTGCAATATATTCCACATTAACCAACAAAACATATACCATCATGTAGCAGAAAATTAAAGTTATAGATCAACCATAAAATTTGTTGATTCAAATAGCTATATTTATTAATAGATATCTCACTTGGAGCCGATTAAACCATTCCTCAAACCATGCCTGCATTATTCAGACAGAGATCTCCAATATAGAAGGGCAACATAAGCATATTCATTCTTAACTCATGCACTAATCTAGCATTCCTAACTCAAGCCTATTCCATATGCATACCATGTAACGGCATACACAGCATCATAAGCATCAAAACACAATTTCACACGTTTTATGTCTCATGTGAACCATGATAGGATAATATAAAGTCACTTAGACTTGTACTAATTTCCCACAACTTATCACATAAGCCTTTTATTAAATGAGCATAATATAATTAGGATAGACTCTTAACATGTCCATATATTTTTCTACTGATTATTTGAATTATATTACGGGAGCGATCAAGCAAAAAATAAGCATAATTTTTATTATGCGACACAAAGAAAACAAAAAGCTAGAGAAGACGCAGTTCAATCTGCTTCAAAGACCGAAGCCCCTAAAATCCCAGATCCAATATGTCCAAGAAAAACGCCAACAAGACCCAGAGTGCCCATCTCATCACACGAAACAAAACCTAAATGGCAAAATACTACCCATCACCACAAGATCGACAAAGGAATCTAGGAAATGGAGCTCACCACGAAGGCTGTCGGGGTCATCGGGGACGAATACGGATCGACGCGTGCGGAAGGGTGGGAGCCAAAAGATGACGGGGAGCAGCACGCAAACGCTGAGGGCCAACACGACGAGGCTTCTAGTAGGGCACGCCCAGCGTATCCCGCCGCCGGCGTCCACTAGATCGGGCACCTCGACGAGGACTTCCTCCGGCTTCCCCATTTAGAGGGCATCGGAAGCCGCCGCACCCACTCGAACAGAGAAGAGCGATGCGCGTAATCGCAGAAACAACGAGAAGAGAAGCGGAGACGGAGACGGAGGTGAGGGGAAGTGGGAGCGGAAGAGCAACCACCAGCTGTTCCGAATATTTTATATTGCTCTCTCGCTTTAACCTTTATTTGCTCGGCTTTAACGGGTTTGTTCACTGCCAAGCTTCGAATGACGTATTTACCCCTTCTAATTTTTATATCTTTTAAATATTATAATCTTTCACACACATCTAACAAAATCAAATTAATCAATACTAGTAATTAATTTATATTTCTAAATATGTATATCTTTTTTGTCTCTTCAGATATCCGAATTGATTAATATATTATTTCATAAGTAATAAGTGCTGTAATAATTTTTTAAAAAATAAATAAAATGCATTTTAAAAATATGCTCATCCTCTATTTTCTGAAGAATATTAATTAAAAATAAATATAAAATAATTTTTAATATTTTTATGAAGAAGATGTTTTCGTAGAAATATTTTATTGTTATTTGATAATTAGTTATTCGTTTATTTTTCACTTTTCCTTCTTCGTTCTTAGCAAAGGTGATATAAAAATAAAAATCCCAAAAGATTAGAATTCCTTCCGTCTCAAAGGAGAGAAGGCATGTTGGCTTTGATAAAATATATTTCTGACTTTAAGTAATACTATTCGATTTGATGGGATAGATACTTAAGCTTAAACGAGTTTATTATATTATCAAGATCTAATATAGTCTAAATCAAATTATGATATCTAATAATGATTTTAAGTATGATGTGTAATCTTAGGATAATCTTTTCGACATCAATCATAAAGCAATTTATTTGTTATCCTGATTTGATATGATTGACTAACTGATATATTTATTTTTTTAATATAAATTATTAACTTAAAATATGTAAACTAAGATTAATAGTAATATGTCCATCAAATTATAAGTCAATATTAGTCTTAACCCATTTTAAATTTAAAACTAATCAAATTATTACATTAAGTTTATATTAATTATTTTATTTTTCTCATATAAATTTAATTTTTAATTAATTAAAATTATTATATATTATATACGAAAAATTCAACTTTTAATATTTTTATAATGGAAGTCCTCTCTAAGTACTTAAGTTGCAGTTAATAAAAATATAACTATCAGATTATTTTTAGCATACTTCCAGTCTAAAACTAATCAGATTAATTTATATTAATTATTTATTTATCCCAATATAAGTTTAATTTTCTATTAATTATAAAATAAATTATCAACTACTAATTTTTTTATAAATAAATTGAAATACAATATTTGGTGTACTATATCTCATTGAACAATAACGAGTATGAATGATTAAAAAATGTTAATATATAACTAACTATATTTTCATTCTATTACTTATGTATTAAATTGCTACAGAATACGTACAGCATATTTAATTATAGAGATTTCACGTTTTTTATTTTAATATATATCTAAATGGTCTTCTTAAAATAAATAATATTTGATTGAAGTACTACAAATAAATCATCGATCAATTCAAGCAAACTCCGATTGGACATGCTAATTTAATATAATCGAACAAAATAATATGAATCGATGAAATTAAGCTAAATCTAAAAGCATGTTCCTAATGAACGTCCATACAATGAAGTGGTAAGAAAGTCGAAAACGACTGATATTAAAATGATGTGACTGTTGATGGTATAACTCACCAAAGCATGACAGTACATTGCAACAAATATGCATGCTATCAATGATGTCATTGATGTACCTCCTCGAACAAATTGAAATATGTAGTCCAACTCCCGGCTTAAAACATGATTGTGACCCATCAATTCAAGACGAGGACGGTTCGATTAAATAATGGAGAAATATAAATGTGATCGATCACATGATAGAGCAAATATAATTCCATATAGTTGTTTTTAATATTTTATCTATGGTTAAATGATATGCTTTGCAAAGCATACAAGGGAAGAGAAGAAGAAGAAGAAGAAGAAACCATAGGTAGGTGGGACTCTGATAGGAATCTTGGCCAACCACCGGACCTATGCTTTGATTGGAATTGAATTGTTGTTGAGTTGTTGAGCTACATTTATCTTTTTATCTTCTTGTAGAGTAAGAAAATTGCCAATAATCAAATGTGTATAATGCATGACTGTCATGTTTGTCATATTGAGCTTGACATATCTTTGCACTCTTCACATGCAAAGATGTGGACAGTCCTGTGAACATATTCATTAACTTAAAATGATAAATATTCTATAATATAAATTTTATTTATTTTTATATTTATTGATGATGGTTATAATACACTAGAAAAATATAATAGAAAAGAGCATAAAATAAAAGGATTTGTATGGTAGAGAATACTAAATTAGAAGTGTTTTCCTAATAGTTTATTGGGGCTAATTACGTAATATCCCATATAATTATTTATCTTTAACATATCAATTTTTATATTTTTAAATGTTACATTTAAGATCTATGTATTTATGAAAGTAAAATGTTTAATTCTATTTCTTCTCACGCATCGACTCTAACGTGCGATATTTTTGTCAAACAGAATGGATGACGTGAGGAGAAACAGAGTTAAATATTTTACTTTCATAAATATAAGAATATTAATATAATTTAAAAATAAAAATTAAGATAATTAATTATAGAAAAAAATCTATAATTAACCTGATTTATTAACACATCAAATTACCATCGTCATCATCATCTTGCCTACGATAGCGAATGGTATCACTGTGGTAGAACACGCAAGCAACTCATGGTTTTCCAACAAAGAAACGACAGCAGTCTACTTGGTTGTGTTCGTCGGAAACAACCGACGTCCATTCTCGACAAACCCCCTCCTCGTTCCCATTCCCACCGCCACCACCTTCCCCTGTTCGAATCCAATTCGTTGAAACGAAGAAGAGCAGCAGCGACGACGACGACAGGAGAATGTCCGCTCGATGGATTGTCATCCTGTGTTCCTGCAGCTTCGGTGTTGGAGTGCTTTTCGCAGACTAGTGTGGTTCTTGTTTTGCTTTTGGTTTAGGTGTCATGTCAAAGATTTGATTTTGAAGCAACTGTGGCGCTGGGTAGTTTTTAGGCCGTCTCGGATACCAACAAGTTTAGATGTTGGAACAGTAATATTAAAATATAATTTTAATTAAATAAGACCTTCGGTATTGAAATAATAATATTAAAATATTTTTTTGATTAAATTAACAAATAAATTAAATTTGTAAAAATTAAAATAAAAACAATTAGAAGAAATTTTTTATTAAATTAGGACTTTAGTGTTGGAGCAATAATACTAAAAGAATCTTTGATTAAATCAAAACATGTTAAATATGGAGAAATTGAAATAAAAATTTAAAAAAAAAACCTAAAAATCATATTTTTCATGGCACTCACTTGCATGGTGAGATTACTGTAGCTGAGGTAAATGGATAATTTTATAATTATAAAATGTGTTATAAAATAAATTAATTGTATGTCATTTCCAAACCTTCACTTATATTTCAGTTACCAAATCTTTTTTAATAAGTTAAATTTTTTTTAAAAATTTTTTAATAAAATATCTAAGGAGAGAGTAAAAGAATTGATGAGAAGTCACTCTCAACCATTGATATGGGACTAAAATCTTTGAACAATGAAAGGGAATTTGAGTTTTTTCCCTTTCCAACAATCCTCATAAAAAAAAACTCTAATTCCATTCAAATAAATAACTAAAATAAATAATAAAATAAAATAAAATAATTACAAATAAATATTGTTAGTGCATGTCTTGAACTATATTCTTTTAATCGAAACCTCAACTAGCTCACACATAGTATGAAATACATCTTCACGGGTTATACGTTAATAGTCATACGCGAATATCTTGATTATTTATGAGAGATTCTAAGGATTGCCCATATCCTTAATCATAATTATCTACATAGAACACTAATCACCATAGGGATAGGGTTAGAGATAAACTTTATATCTATATGCATTAAAATACTAATCATTATACTCCTTAGCTAATCAGTCAGCTTATTATTATCACATTGAATCTCTTTCAAGAGATTGCTTATTACAAAGGTTGGATTTATATTGTTAGAAGACTCATTTTAGGCAAAGACTCATTCCTCTCGATAACACTAACTATGTTATTCCTATACGTTTGCTTAGGAGTACTAATCACCATAGGGATAGGGTTAGAGATAAACTTTATATCTATATGCACTAAAATACTAATCATTATACTCCTTAGCTAATCAATCAGTTTATTATTATCACATTGAATCTCCTTCAAGAGATTGCTTATCACAAAGGTTAGATTTATATTGTTAGAAGACTCATTTTAGGCAAAGACTCATTCCTCTCGATGATACTAGAATCTTAGTCCTATTTAAGTCTTTAGTAAAATAATCAACTAGATTATTATCATTTTTAATAAAAAATATAAAAATAGCATAATCTAGTCATTTAATGGATTTTTGTCTAATTTTTATGTGTATGCTCATTTTAATATTTATAAGTTTCTTTTGTAAAATATTGAAGTATAGAAATTAGATTTTTAAAATATTTTGCTTCAGGACGAGCGGTGTAAGTGCTACACGCTCAAAAACACTTTCGACAATAATAGTTTATTTAGTTGATTGTCAAAATATAATACTTCCATCAAGAAAAAATATGGATCCTATAAAGTCAAGTCAATAATAAAAAATATCTTTAAAGTATCTAAAAACTCGTTTAAGAGCATTTTGATGACTCAAACTTGGGTTACTAGTATATCTAGTAAGTCTGAATATAACATAAGAGATATCAGGTCTAGTCATATTTGATAGATAGAGATGAGATCCAATAATATGAGAGTATATTTCTTGATTTACAAGATTACTAATATTTTTAAGAAGATAAACATTTGGTTCATAAAAAGTGAAGATAGATGAAGAATATAATGAGATTGAGATGATATAAAATTAGAAGATTTTTGAATTTCCACTTCTAAGATAATATCAATTTTAGTAAGATCTTTCGTATGAAAGTAATGAGATAAGAATGATTTAATTTTTAACTTCTTATATATCTTATTTTTTTAAAACTCTGTAGAATTCTATTTCATTGTTAATTATCGCTTAAAACAAAAGTATTGGGAGAGCACATAGCTTCTAAAATTAGCTTCTAAAAAGGAACTTGGTGTCTCGTGTAAGAGATAAAATCATTATCTAAGTTATTTTCAATCCTATCTCTCTTATTTCTTAGATGTTTAGATTGAATATTAGATTCTATAAGAGTTGGGAAAAAAGAAATACACTCACTTGAGATATTTGTAGATAATTTGGTCATAAAATAAAATAAAATATATTTTGCATCTATAGATTTAATTAGAGAGTTATTTAAGATTTCAGTTATTTCAGAATTTACTATAGAGGAAGTATCCTACAAAGAAAACATCCAGGGACATATCTTCTTTTTCTTGGGTTATGAGATATTAACCTTAGCTAAACAATCTTGTATTTGAAAGTAACTTATCTGTGATTTATAATCATTTCAAAGTTCATTGGCTTATGCCTTCTTTTTCTTGTTGCTTCTTTATGATTTATAATCACAAGAGAGTCTCTCCTTATCTATTTTTATTTTCAATTCATTATAAGTGTACTCACCTCTTTTATCATATCTTAGGGTTTTAATTTTTTTTCAAGTTGGTTTTCAATGCCTTATATCTTAAATTTGATATAAATAAAATTCTTGTTATTTTTCTAACCTCATAACTTATATCTCCTACTCATATTGTGAAGCAATAATATTTTTTCAGAAAAAAAATTATTTTTCTAACATCATAACTAATATATTGTACCCATATTGTGAAGTAATAATATATAGCATATATGTATTTTTCTTGTAATCTATAAGAATACATAGGCTGAACTTAAACTTTGGAGGAATAAATATGAAGCTTGTAAGTTTAAAAGTATATAGTTTTGCTTTATAAATTATAATAATTTTAATGAACACACATTTTTATGTTATTGATTGAAAAAGTTCGTTAAGGTCAATTTGCGCAAAAGGTAATGATCCATCTAAAATTCACTCATCCATATGAAATTTTTTATATTTTGATTTCTTAAATACTTATTCGAAATATTCAAAATTAAGATAAGTAGATTGTTTATTTTTTACAATAACAACATTAGCATATATAAAATAATTTGACATTATAGAGGCACCCTCAACGTTGTGCAAATTTTGAGGAGTATAAACAAAAATTTACATTTTCAAGGATGTGTATGAAATTACTGACTTACTGGTTTATAACCATGCAAATAATAAGAAGTTTAGTATTATTATTATTATTATTATATAATATAAGCTCTTGATGGAATTTAAAGTCATGATTTACCATCGGTTTCCTTCTATTTATAGAGGTCTCCTATAAACCATCGGTTTCCTCCTATTTATAGAGGTCCCCTATCAACTTAACCCTAATGGATCATACCAACTGCCCAAGCATTTTAGATTAGTGAATCTTTATCTAATAATTTCTTATTGACTTTTATTAGATCTCATCCATACGATTCAATAATTCAGGGACTTATTAGATATCTAATAAGATAGAGACTCCGATGGATATCTTCAAACCTCTACAACCTCCTATGATTTTATTTTTTTTAATATTATGTTATTGTTAATTGTTGGATTAGTTGATTATGTCTTCCAAGTGGATAAGTGACAATTTCTTTAATCATATATATATATATATATATATATATATATATATATATATTATACATAAGTAATATTTCTGGGATTTAAAACAAATCAAAGTGAGGTGATGTAGATTTTTAATAAATTAAATAAAAAATAAATTACATATATAATAATAAAAAAAGAATTATGAAATAAAAATTGCAACTCATTTTCATTAATTTTAGTTATTATACCATCGAATCCATCTGTTGAAGTTTCTATTTTTTCGCTAAACATTGCGTAAATTTCACATATTGTTAATTCTATCTGTCAATTTATTATTTTTCGCAAAATTTTTGAAGAACTTGCCGTAATTGTCCTCCGCTCCGATCCGTCCTCTGTTCCGAACCTCTTTTCTCAAAGTCTCATTCTCTCTCTCTCTCTCTCCTCTTCCTCTTCTCTTTTCGTGCTTCCTTCCCGGCGTGGTACGAAGGAACCGGACGGATCCGCCTCCTAGTCTCCTCCTCCTCCGGCATCCGCTTGGTCGCGGCCGTCGCCTAAGAGGTAAGCGTTCGTCCTCCTCCTAGGGTGCTGCTAAGATCGGACGGATTGGCTGTGCCGCTCCGATCCTGGATGATACTTTGTTTTGAGTCGGGGATCCCTAATTTTTTTTCGTCGTCTCCGGCGTGTTGGGGATCGGATGAGTTTTGAATTCTTGGCGACTGTATTGAATGTCGTCTAGTCTTCGCAGATTTTAATAGGGATGATTTTGTCTCACCCAAGGTCTTTTGAGATCAGGTTTTGGATCGAAGATCCCCTTGAATATACATTGCTTGTTCGTTCGAAAGGCGTACTATGATTTTAGATCAGACTATGAGGATCGTAACCAGAATGGTTATAACGAAAAGAAATTTTTTAGGAAAACGACCACAAATTGGCCACTGGTGTGACCTATTCGAATGGGAATTGAGTACAGGTTATTGTTCCAATGTAGTATATTCAGCTTAGTCATAGTGTCCATGACTTCTCGTTAAAGATACTATGTTTTGCTCTTTCCGACGCACCAAAATATGGCAGTACGCGATCAAGCCTGATTGCAGAGCTGAGCCTTTTTGTCCATTTGATTGGACTAACTTTTGGAAGCCATATGGTATAAAAATTATACATTTATGGATTGAGAGCATGGCCAATATTGTACTCGATGGAGCCATTTGGTGACCCTTTAATGATAAGTTAATTACTTCACCATGATCAACATTGTTCTGAAAAATGATGGGAATATAGTTCCAGTCAGAACTCAATGGGCCATGCCTTAACAGACCAAATAAGCCATCGAATGAGATAATAAGCAATAAGCAATGCTTTCATGATCTGATTAAAATTTTGTCCCATCCACTTAGCAATGAAATTCCTTCACCTCTGTCCTTTGTTGATGATATGGAAGAACTTGGAACATGGAAAACTGTGTTTTAATATGCTCTCATAGTAAGTATTGTTAGATCTTTATACCTCCCTAAGTTAGTGGTGACACATGCTTAAGACGTGGTTGGTGCAGTAAGGCATGTGTTATGTAGCACCTACCTGGGTTGGCACAGCAATGAAATTTTACATTGTCAAGAATAAAACAACATGAAGTTAACTCCTAAGGAGTATAATAACTAGGTAACTAGGTAGCTAGCTAAACACAGAAGCATCCAAGAGAAGTCATGTAGGAATTTGGTATTAAAAGAATTAGACAAGACAGTCAACTTATCTTCTTGTCAAAACAATTCAATGGTCATTTACAAACTATTTGCATGAATTTTCATGATCAATATAGCTAACTGCCTAACTCCAAAATTCTTGAATATGCACAGCATGGCATGAGCATCTTCAGGCTCCTATTATATACTAGGAATGCATTAAACAAGCCCACTAAACTCTTATGACTGTGTCAGGGTTTGTGTTAGGACTCTAGCTAGGAGAGTCCTAATTGAGAGGGGCATTCATGTAGGAGGTTTTTTCTTAGAGAAGAA